TTAGTTAAAAAAACACTTCTTATTCACTGGAGACCATCCATATACAGAAGTACAGGCAATTGTCCAAGCAGTCTTGTCTATACACACCCAGGTATAACCCGTGTTAATTTTATAATTTAGTTCTTGAATCGCGATTATACGTCTTGTTTTATTGTCTTCGCTGTTGGCTGCTGTTCTTCTATTTGTTACTCTTTTGAATGATAGTGTTCCCAAATGTCCAGCATCTCCATTGATGATTTTACCTTTTATCATTCTCAAAAATGAAGCCTCCGAAGGCACTAACTGTTCTGCTTCTTTTACTTTTTTCTTTAAACAACTCTGCTGTCTCAAAATTATCTTCGATATTTTTTATTTTTTGAGACATGTTGTCTAGTATTTTGGTATCTAAAGTTTCAACAACGTTGATGTCTTGTATATTACAAACAACAAGCACTTCAGCCATTTTGCGTCTCTATTTTGCGATAGAGTTGGTTGGATTATTTCTGAGAGCAGCCCTGACAAGCTTTTGAAAAGAAGTAGTGCGGCTCTTTCTGCAATAATGATTAACGGGGTAAATACTTTCACCTTTAATCAATTTGTTAATGATATATTTGCAATTGTCAATGAGTATACCACGATCAAGTGAGAACTGCATCGGGTCAATGGTTGTTGCTGTTCTAAATGCCTTGACCAATTCCCGTTTCGTCTTTAAAGATACGGTTCTGTATAATTTTTTCTTGTTGTCATCTTTTTTTTCAATTGTTTTTGGGGGTCTTCCTCTTCTTTTTATTGTGTTGTCAGGTGGAAAAATGTTCAAAGTGTAGAGCCTCTAAAGGAACACCTTGTTGTGGTTTGGGAGCATTTTCAAGGTAATCTGAGCGACTCCCGGGGTTAGTATCATCAACTTATTCAAAAGAAGAGTGGTTCATGTGTTATTTCAAGGTACGATGATCAAAATATGAAACATTAATATTATAAAAATAAAAATTCACTATAATTGATTTGGTGACGAAATAATTAAAAAATAAGTGGATTAATTATAAATGCAAATGTATTTATTAGTGTTCTGACTGATTTATTTTTGTGCCGTTTGATTTATTTGTGAAACTCGAATTATTTTGTTTTTGTTATTTTTTTCTCTTTTTCCGTGTGCTTTTTTTTCGACTGTTAATTGTGTTGTTTTTCCAAGTTGTAGATCTCCTCTGGTTGCGAATTCTTCTGTGTGAAGAGCGTAACACACACTTAATCAATCAAATTGATTGCCTTGTCTTGCAATAACCTTGCATTGATGTATCTATTCCACAATGATGCAACTGCCACCTCAAATAGTCTGGATTTCATCAACGAACAGAATGATTGAGATCTCAGACGTTTTCATTTCTTTCAAAACTACATTTAGTTGCTCCTCAAACAGTCTTCTGTACAAACACCAGCAATCCGCCCACCCATATCAAGTGCAACAACTCTGACTACAAATTCAAAGGAACATTTTTTTTATTTTTTATTGTTGCCATCTTACCAACACCAGGCTCATTAATCAAGACGGCAATGCCCTTGTTCACGTGACACCATTCAAACGTTTTAACGTTGAATGAGCAACTTGATTTTGAAAGAATAACCATAACAAGCAATAGCCAATTAGAATAAATATGCAGATAAACTTCAAAAAGTGTTGGTGAATAAAACGTTCAGCGACATGTTATATAAAAAACTTGAAAAGTCCTGTGTTACTCCACGATATTTTCTGGTGGTCTTTGATTTATTTTTTCAAAATTTAATAATATTTTAATGAAACTACAAAAAAGCTGTAACAGATTATTTTTACGATATAGATACAATAAAATAAATACTCAATTTGTTTGATAATATTCAAGTTTCTTTTCTTCTTCAAACTTTGAATTGTTGATCTTTTTGAGTTGTTTGAGTTCTTCGAATTTCTGCACTTTGATTTGCTTTGAAAATTTTAATTCAACAAGAGAAGTTGGCAAATTCAAAGTGACGATGTTATTACACATCAAAGAAAATGAAGTCAAACATGTAAGTCCTCTCAAGTCTGCATTGTAGTACTCATCGACATTTAATTTGGCTTCTTTGATGGCATACAATTGATGTGCAGCTGTTCCATTCTGATAGAAAACCCCATGCATGTTTTAAGACCTTTTAAATAGGACTCCTTTTGTTTTTTTCAAAGTGGTCGTTTTGAATCATAAATTTGACAAAAATAATAAAATAAAACAGTCAAAAAGCTAAACTGTGGATAATTATTTTAATATTAAAATATGTAACTTCTTTTTATTTGTTATTTAATATCAAAAACGTGTTTTATATCGATATAATTATTCAATAGTTAATTTAGTCCATTGTTATGTCAATAATTCTCGTTTATAATACATTTGAATGTGTTAAATCAATATAATATAAAACAATATATACAATTAAAATGTACCAGCATTTTAATATAATTACATTTTTTTTACATTATTTTTCCACAAATAAATTTAAGGTTATTTAAAGTTATAGAGATTATATTGTTCTTATTTTCATTTGAATGTAAGTTGTGATTTTTACCATCAAAACAATTAATATATGATGTTAAAAAAACAGTTTTTTTTGATTGTTAAAGGTTGAGACGTTAAATTGTGTTTTATTTATATACAATTTAATTAAATAACCATTCGTCTTTGAATCACATCGATTTAATAAAATGTGTTGTTGATATTATTTAAAAAATTGGAAAGTGTTTTTTTTGTATATTACTATATACAAAAAATACAAATAAGCAAAACATTCAAAACCTTATTTCCGTGGTAAAAATAAAAATTTAGTGCCTCTAGGTCTGGTCTACAATACCATATTTTTCAAATAATAATAATATTTTATCAATTTAAGAATTATACACACTATCTTACATTATAATAATTAAATTTGACAATATTTTATTAAAAAAATTTATTGGAAAATACACTCAATATTTATATACTATAATTTAAATAAGTTTGGTTTTTGTTTTTTTTCTGTGATTAATAATTATTCTATAATTTGTATGCAGTTTTTGATAACACCGAATTATCTGTTAGCTTAAACTGAAATTTGACAGTAATTGGTTTTATTTGTTGTTAATTTTAGATCTGTTCATTAATTCGACAGTTTTATTGAAGGAATTATTATTAAAAAACACTTATAATATAATATAATAAATGCATTAAGAACCACTTATTATTTTACTCAAAATAAACCACCACTAAATTACAATATCATGATATGATACGAAAAAAACTTAAAATTCACAATAATGATGTTGTTACTTCCGTTTTTTAACATAATTATTTCGGTCAATTCATCGATATTGAAATGGTGTAAAGTTAAAGACGTGATAACTTGTGTCAATCAGAACAATAAATGCCCTTTAAATTATGAATGGAGTGTCATTGATAATATTGTGAGTTTTCAACAAAACTTAAAAACAGAAACAATAACAATTAAGTGCAAAATACCGTCACAACTGTTTGTAATTAGTTTTGATGGTCAAACCCAAAAATTGTTATTTTCGAAATTAAATGACAAATATGTTTTTTATCAACAAAAAAGCTTACATAGTACAACACTCAAAGAAGTTGTTGATGGAAATTTGTGTGGAAATTACCCAAATTGTGCTTCTTGTTCAACCACAAATAGTATTACACATTGTAATACCTGTCTTCCTGGATTTTTTAAAAGTGACTATTATTCATGTTCCGCTTGTTCTGCAGGTTGTTCAAAATGTAATGGGTTTAATAATGTCGATTGTCAGTCTTGTATATCACCAGGACATATCACAACGGATTCTAATTGCTCCGACTGCTCTATTGGTTGTGCAATATGTCAAACACAATCACCTTTTTATTGTCAGACCTGTATTTCTGGGTTTGTTTTTATGAGGGGGTCATGTCGTAAATGTCCAACTGGTTGTACTACTTGCACTGATACGCCAACGTGCAATTCTTGTGACCTCAATTATCGTCCTTATAATGGTGTGTGTTCCAGATGTCGCGATGGATGTAAAACGTGTTCTAGTAGTGAATTAGAAACTTGTTTATCCTGTTTAGAGGGTTACTTTCAAAGTGGTAAATTTTGTTATCCGTGTTATGACAATTGTGCTTCGTGTTCAAGTAGATTAGTTGCAAGTTGCACTTCATGTAAAACTGGTTATTATTTAATCAATGGTACTTGTCATACGTGTGGAGTAAACTGTATAAAGTGCACATCCTCGGAAAATGGAAGTTGTTTATTATGTAAAGAAGGTTATTTCAAAGTCAATGGTAATTGTTTCCCATGTTATTCTGGATGTGCAACTTGCAATGGAACTTCGAATGGAAATTGTTTTTCGTGTATAACTGGGTTTCGACAGAACGGTTATTATTGTTATTCATGTGCGACTGGTTGTAAAACGTGTTTTGGTGAAGAAACAAGACAGTGTAATTCTTGTTTATCGGGTTATACTTTTGAAGACTTTAAGTGTACTAAATGTCCAAGAGGATGTGAATCTTGTTCAACAGGCATTGTAACATGTACGGCATGTCTTGATGGATATTACAAATACACAACTGGTTGTCTTGCATGTCCTTCACCTTGTCTTACATGCGATGACATACCATATTTTCACTGCACTTCATGTGTTGAGGGGTATCATCTTTTAGATGACGAATGTGTTCAATGTAATGAAGGGTGTACTTCATGTATATCCGATAATACCGCTTTGTGTTTTTCTTGTGAACCATTTGGATATTATTTTGATTCTTATAATTGCATAGAATGTTCGACAAATTGTCTTTCTTGTGAGTATTCATCAACAAATTGTACATCCTGCAAAGATGGTAGTTCTTATTTTTCAAACAATGAATGTTTTCAATGTATTAACTGTTTAAGTGGAAATTGCCATCAAAATGGGTGTACTCAATGTAAGTATTCAAATTATTATGTATCTGGATACAATTGTTTGCCATGTGATAACAATTGCAAAACTTGTTCATTATCGTCTACCAAATGCACTTCATGTGAAGATGGAAGTTTATATTTAAAAGATTCAACATGTGTTCAATGCCTAAATTGTGTGAATGGAAATTGCCATCAAGATGGGTGCAGTTTGTGCACGGATTCTCATTTTTTCAATATTTCTCATGACTGTTACAAATGTGATGATAACTGCAAAACATGTGGTACAAACAAAACAAATTGTTTGAGTTGTGAAAATGGAAAATATTTAGATCAAGGAACATGCAAAATTTGCGACGAAAATTGTCTTGATAACATGTGTGATGTTGTTATGGGATGCACTGCTTGTGCTGAAAGTTTTGAAGTAAAAAATAAAGTGTGTGTATGTAAAAGTGGGTTTTATTTGAGTGGAAATAACAAGTGTTCAAGATGCTTTACAAGTCAACTTAATGGTAATTGCAAAATATGCAAAAATTCAGACGAAATACTTTTTAATCCAAAATGTGAAACATTCTATGAACCATATGTTCTATCAGAAAATAAAACGTGTACTTTATGTCAAGATGGATATTATTATAATAAAGGAGTTTGTATTTTTAATGACGGGAAATGTAATAAAAGAATAAACAAATTAAAGTGTATACAGTGTAAAGAG